GTCAGAAAGGTTTAGAATCCACCTATGTTATGCTAATAATGAAACCAACCGAGGATAGTTGTGTAATAAGAATGCTGGATGTGTCAACATCCTTATTAGAAAATTAACACAAGGTTTAACCATCAAGTAATGTGACTCTGTTTTAAATAAACATATCTGAATGGGTGTTGTTCCAGCCCCAGTAGACACCTTGGCAGGCAAAACACTTATTTAAATGATATTTCCCATCCTTTTAATATGTTTTCTTTTTTTCTGTAGCTCTTTTGGAATTGATCCTAGAGCCTCCGGCACGTTCTTCTGAACATATCTGACAGTGACCAATTTTTGTCCTTTGTGGATAATCCTGATTTTTTTGTAAACAGCCCAAAGTTATTTGGCAGAAAGTCTGGTAAATAAGCTTAGAGCCGTTGTGGCGCTGAAGTGGCGCTGAAGCCACTCACCTACTAACCTAAAGAATTAGTGGTTTGAACCCACCAGCTGCTCTGAAAGAGAAAGACGTGGTGATCTGTTTTTGTAACGACAATAGCTTTGGAAATCTTACATCCCCTGACATCAAGCTGATTCCAAAGTACAGAGACCCTAGGTTTCTGAGACTATAAATCTTTATGGGAGCAGATAACATCACCTTTCTCCTGAGGAACAGCTGGTGGGTTTGAACCGCCGACCTTATAGTTAGCAGCCCATTGCTTAACTCATAGCGCCACAGAACCACACTATGAGTCAGAATCAACTTGGTGGCAGTGGGTTGGAATACCACTTTTAAATATTGAAATAAATCGACAGTATAAGGTAAGGAGTCGTGGTGTGGCACTGTAGGGTAAGCACTGGACTGCCAACCAGCAGTTCAAACTCACCAGTCGCTCCTTGGAAATAGTAGACAGGCTTGCTACGAGTCAGAATCAACTCAATAACACTTAACAATAACAAGGTTGTTGTTGTTAAGTGTCATTGAATCAGTTCTGACCCATAACAACCCTGTATAGGGTTCCCAAGTAGCAGTTGATGAGCTTGAACCGCCTCCCTTGTGGTTCAAACCAACTTTGTAGTCCAGCGCATTAGCCCACAGCACTACACCAGGATTCCAACAGCAAGGTAAGGAGCCTACCCACCCACCCACCCCCTTTTTTTTTTTTTTCCTCTGTTTCCAATAGAAGGCTTACAAATATGCGTCAAGAGTCTGCAATATTGTTGGAAAGGGTTTGTCGGAAACCCTATGAAAGGTTGCTATGAGTCAAACCGACTCGACAGCATATAACAACAACAACAACAACAACAACAAAGTAATCACATAAAAGAAGAAAAGTCATTTGGAAATGTGCTGGTACGTTTTCAGTTACACCTTTCATTATCTAAAAGATTCTGCCGCTGGAGTTTCCAGAAAGAAAAGCGCATTGCAACTGATCCCTACTGCAGTCATTTTATCATACCTCCACTGTGCAGCTGAATCCTGCTTTGCATATGAATCGACTGGCTGGCAACAGTACAGATATTTCTAGTCAGTTAACATCTGGGTCTTTTGGAAGTATGCTGGCATTGTTAGGTGTTCTCCAGACTCACAGCAATTCTATGTACAGAAGAATTCAACACTGCCAAGTCCTACACCATCCTCACAGCTGTGATGCTTCAACCCATCCCCAACGTTGCAGCCACTGTGTCAACCTGTCTTGTGGAGGGGCCATCTCTTTTCCTTATTGACCTCCTACTTTACCAAGCATGCTGTCTTTCTGCAGGAATTTATTCCTCCTGATGTCCAAAGTACTTGAGAGGACGTCTCTCTAGCCTCATTTTTAAGAAGCATTCTGGCTGTACTTCTGCCAAATCAGATGCATTTGTCCTTCCGGCAGTTCTAAACCCACTGCCATTATGAGTCAGAACCAACTCCATGGCACAAAACCACCACTACCGTTGAGTCAATTCTGACTCACAGTGAGCTGAGAGGACAGAGGAGAACGGCCCCATAGGGTTTCCAAGGCTGTAATCTTAACAGACTCCTGGTGTGGCGCTGTAGGATCAGCATTGGACTGACTGCAAACCACAAGGTTAGTGGTTCAAGCCTACCAGCTGCTCCTCAGAAACACTTATCGGCTTGCTGTGAGTCAGAGGCACTTAAGTGATGGAGTCATCCTTCTCCAGAAGTGAGGCTGTAAAAAACCCCCTATGGAGCAATTTTATTCCGTCTTAGAATTGCTGTTGTTAAGTGTCATTGAGTCAGAACAGTCACACTGTTTGTTTAGGGTTTCCGAGGTTATAAATCTTTGCTAGAGCAGAAAGCCTCATCTTTTACCCATGGTGCAGCTGGTGGGCTCAAACCATCAACCTTATGGTTCAAGGTCCAGTGCTTATCCTACAGAGCTACCACATATAGGGTTGCTGAGTTGAAATCAGTTCTAAGATGGCAATAGTCGATCCCAATCCTTCTTCTCCCACCTACCCACCCCACCTCCATTCTCTGGCAACTACTAGGCTACTTCCGTTTTCTATAGATTGGATATTTCATGTAAGTGGGAACATTCAACATGTGGCTTGCTGTGTTTAGCTTTTTCAGTTAGTATGTTTTCAAAGTTCATCTATGCTGTAGCTTGTGCCAGTACTTCATTTCTGTTTATCGTTGAGTAACATTCCATTATATGCCCCTAGGTGGTGCAACCTGAACTATGAACAGAAAGGTTGGTGGTTGTAGGCCACCCAGAGGTGCCTCGGAAGAGAGTGCTGCTGATCTGCTTTTGAAAGATCACCACCATGAAAACCTTATGAAGTGTAATTCTAGTCTGCACACATGGGGTTACCATGAGTCCGAATCAACTCGAAGGTAACTAACAACAGTATGTATATTACCACATTTTGTTTCTCCATTCTTTTAGTTCATGAGGATTTGAGATGTTTCTACCTTTTGGTTACTGTGAACAGTACTGTTATTTACATTCATGTACAAGATTTTGTTTGAACAGCTGTTTTCAAATCTTTGGCAGTATAGTCAGGAATAGAAGTTCTACATCATACAATAATTCTATGCTGAACTTTTAAAGGGCCCATCAAACCCCTAGCTCATTTTTTTTATTTTCACAATTTACAAGGCATCTGGATCCTTGGTCAGTTACAGATAGCTGGATAGCTGAAGCTGAACCCCAGGCTTGGGCTCCAAGAGGTCTCTTTTCCAGCAATAGTGATTAGTGCAGCCAGGCTCAATCAGAGGCAGGTTTGTTCCATGACAAGGTTATAGGCAGGGCTTTTCACAGCATTCTCTGCTGCTCTGCAAGTCACAACATGAACTGGCTGGGCAGGAATATCCTCCTGCCTTCTAGGCATCCTTACTTCTCCATTATGTAGCACACACTTTTGGAAGGGGTGAAGAAAAAAAAAGATGTTAACTACTTAAGAACAGGCTTTCCTCCTCCTGTCTTTGCAGCAGAGTTTCAGACAAGCACCTGGGGTCCATGTAGGGGCCATGCTTGGGGCCAGTGGAGCCTTTTGAGACTAGAAAGTGAGCCTCCCTTTGGGTAGAGTTTGACCATATGTTTTGTCTGAGCGCATCACCCAGAGACTCTATCAGCCCTCAGATAGTGAGTGAGTCCATCCTAGTTTGTATATTGTGGATTGTCTACCTTGGGCTTGGCTGCGCAGAGATAACCCATCTACAGGCATTGTTTACTACAGCTCACTTAGAGTCATGAGACTGCTCAGTCATTAACCCAACTCCTAACAGTAACTGATTAGCACTGATTTTTACATTTAAACCTGCTTATGAGCTACGGTACTTAACCACAACAACAAAGTGAGCATCTCCAAGTGCTGACTTCTTGCTCTAGCTCCCTAACACATGGGACGTTTCCAACCGACAGGAGCCCACGCCAATGAGTATTAGGTGGCACTGCCCACAACAGATTAAAATGGCCACTTTCAATGGAAACTAAAAGCTAAAAATGAAGACATAGGATTCCAGGGTCCTTAGGGTCCTTGCTACATAAGTCTCCTTGCCAACCCAGCTGACCCCAAGGCAGCTCTGACTCTGTTAGGGCAGAAAAGTCCCTTGGCTGGTCACATCCTCTGCTTTCCAGCAGGAAACATGCAATGTGCCTGCTCTTGTCCTCGGTGCGTTTGCTTATCGCTTCCTTGAAGGGAAGGGTGTGTTTCATCAGTGTCCGCTGGGTGTGTGTGTGGGGGGGGAGGGTTGATTTTCACCATGACCTCACCCTGTGCCGCCACCGTGCCCTGGTTTGAGCTCTGCCGAGCAGTCCTGCTGGCATTACGCAGTTCAAGCGGGAACCCACATTTGGGAGGTGGTGATAGAGCCCTCACTGCACATTTCAAATGAAACGTGCAGGGCTCTGAGAACATCAACATGAGCTGAAAAGAGAGTGATGATCTCTGTTTATCATAAGTCAAGGATGCCATCGTAAGAAAATGCACCGAAAACTTTTCAGGCTCTCTCTGGCCGTTTGAATGACTTTCGGCTTCGAAATAAGGCGCGGGAACTGTGACAGCGGGCGGCGGACAACGAACCCGGGGGAAAGGGCGGGGAAAGCGGCTGGGGAGAGAAGGGATCCCATATGGAAGTGTCTGGCTTCCGCTGCTCGCTACTTGGACTTCAGGGAGCAACCCTTTTGCCCAGAAATAAGCGCAATCCATGAAAATGAAACAGAAAGTCCAGCTCTGCCGGCGACCAGCTTCGCACTGACCACGTGACCGCAAACCTTAGGCCTCCGGGCGCGGGCACGCGAGCGACCGAGCGAGCGAGCGAGCGCGTGATTCGCCGGCTTGGGACTGGCATCGAGGGCGCCGCGTGCGTGCGCGCGCACACGCGGCCGGGGCCACCGCCCCTCCCGGGCCCGCCCTCTTTCCCTCCCTCCCCGGCTCTCGCGGCCCGCCCTGGCCGGCTCGCCCTGCGAGTCAGTTTGCTCGTTCCCTCCCTCCCCGGGCGCGCTCGGGCCGCCGCAGCGCTCCCCGCCCTCGACCCGCTGAGCCCGAGCCGCCCGCCACCCGCGGAGGAGGTGGAGGGAGCCGGAGGGGCCCGCCGAGGCGGCGGCGGCGGCAAGATGGCGGACTTCCTGCCGTCGCGGTCCGTGCTGTCCGTGTGCTTCCCCGGCTGCGTGCTGACGAGCGGCGAGGCCGAGCAGCAGCGCAAGTCCAAGGAGATCGACAAATGCCTGTCCCGGGAGAAGACCTACGTGAAGCGGCTCGTGAAGATCCTGTTGTTGGGCGCGGGCGAGAGCGGCAAGTCCACCTTCCTGAAGCAGATGCGGATCATCCACGGGCAGGACTTTGACCAGCGCGCGCGCGAAGAGTTCCGTCCCACCATCTACAGCAACGTGATCAAAGGTGCCGGGGGGCGTCGGGTGGGGGACAGGGGGCCGGGCACCGCCCTCGCGCGAGACCCCGCCGGCCGGGCGGGAAGGGGGGTGCGTCCGAGCCTCCAGGGTAGGCACCGGCCGGGGGCGCCCCCTTTCCCCATGTTGCCCCCGTGGGGGTCACGACCACACCCCACCCCCACCGATCGCCAGCCTGGGCCCCTTAGAGAGGGAAGTTCGGAGAGCCGGGTGTCTCGGGGTGCGTGGTGGCCTCTCTCGCCTTCCTCCTTCCCGACGAAGCTGGAGACACCGAGAGCCAACCGCAGACCCTACCCGGTACCCCCTTCCCCGCCTCAGTGCTGTCGGCTTGGGGTGGGGGTGGGGGGTGACCCGAGTCGCGTGAGGTACACTCCACTCCCTGTGCCTCCCGACCTAGGGAGTTCTGGAACCATCGGCAATAAGGAAACTTTTCCTTGGACTCGTCAAGGGCGAAGGGTGACAGTGTCTGGGATTCTTTGGGGAAAGGACGTGAAACTTGAGGGTATCAGTTTCACTCTTGCAGGTACCAGGAAGGAGTAGACCCTTTACAGTTGCTTTCAAAAACGAGCATCCGTGGGTTTTCTCCGCCTTGTAGTTGTCAGGCACCCGGAGGTGTTTCCCTGTGATCTGTGTGCAGCATGCTCAGCTCTCCAGTTGGCTAGATACGGGGTGGGGGGATGTGGGGTGTACCACCCTTTAATTGCACTGGTGATATGCAGGTTCTGTGTGGTTGAGTCTGAATCTACATAGCGTTAGATCCCAGGCTCCGCTTCAGTACGACAGTATTTTATGTTTGTGATTAAAAAATTAAACTTTGATTTCTGCAGTTTGAAGAACTAGAGACGATGGATTTTATTTTGTAATTTGACTGATAATGAGCTTTCGTTTATCGCAGTATCAAAATTTTTTCACTAGATAATGTTTCAGAGGCATGAGGATTCTCGTTCATCTGAATAGCGGTTATCTAGGAGTTAGCTGCCGATTTCAGATCTTTTCAGACTTTTTTTTAAAGTGGGATTTTGGTTCAGGAAGTACTTAAGTAACTCTTTCATGTCACTTTCCCCTCTCCTTCCCCCTCCCCCCAGGGTTTGGTGGAGGAAAATGGCTCAGAGAGGAAGACAGTGTGAGTTAGGAGCAAGACCGAAGGCTAGGCCTGGAACTCAAGCCTACATTGAGCTCTTAAATTAACCCTAGTACCTTTGCAGTTTGCTGTGAAAAACAAATGTATTTATTCTGCCTTAATGGTTAGCATAAAACCTGATTAAGGTCACTTTCAAGGCCATGGACTCTGCCAGTCCTTAATTAAAGGTACCTTTGTATCCTTCTGCAGCTGAACTTACGGGAATTATGTTGATGAATAGAGTCAGCATTTTAATTGATTATGGTCCAGGTAAACAACTGCTTCTTAATGTATGTTGTTAAATGCTGTCGAGTTGATTCCAACCCATAGCAACCCTGTATAGGGTTTCCAAGGAGCAGCTGGTGAGCTTGAACCACTGACCTTGCAGTTCAAATGACTTTACAGTCTGACGCATTAGTCCACAGCACCACACCAGGACTCTTAAATGTGACCTGTTTTGAGCATTGATTCTAAGATAGTCATTGGACAGTACTTGTTTGTTGTGTGTGTGTGTGTGTTGTCTTGATCCAAAAACAATTTTTCATTGATCCAAACAAGCGACTTCTAATAGGCGTGTGACTGTTTCGATGGTGACAGTTTAGTGATAGAAATACTGGGTTTGAACTAAACTGCCAGTGGAAGTGACTATTCCATCTTCTGCCAGTTCAACTCAGACCATCTTGAGATTTTTAGTTTGATCTGGGAGAAGTTTTTGGGGTTTTAATGTGTTCCTAGACGCCTCTGTGTTGGGCTTGGCAGGGTGCTGAGGGAACAGACTGAATGCAGAGAATGGCAGTGCTGGTTTTTGGCACTTGATAGCAATGAGACTTTTGAACAGACTCAGGCACTTCTCCCTGAAGCCCTTTTCCTTCAGAGCCTGCACCTCGTTCGGCTGTGCAGTATAGTTTCTTTTTCCTTCTGTGGTTTTGACTCTCTCGTGACCATTTTTTACCTTAACGCAATTTTATAAATAACAAAGTGTTTAAATCCTTGAGAAAGAGCAAGTGTGTTAATAGTACTTGTATTTGCTCTTCAAGACTCTTCTTCTTATGAGTGAACAACAGCTTTTTTTAAGTTTTGAGAAGTTCCTGGTTGTTGTTGCGATGTTGGTCTCCATTTTTGGAGTTGGGCCTGGAGTAGTGACGATGTCTGAGAGAGTAATAATAGTAGAATTGTATAAGGAATCAAACTTAAGACGAGAATATCTAATGACTCCTCCCCATGTTTTTTCCTTTTTTTTTTTTTAAATAAGGTATGAGGGTGCTGGTAGATGCTCGAGAGAAGCTTCATATTCCTTGGGGAGATACTTCAAACCAACTCAGTGGAGACAAGATGATGGCGTTTGATACCCGGTCACCCATGGCGGCCCAGGGAATGGTGGAAACACGGGTGTTTTTACAATACCTTCCTGCTATCAGAGCGTTATGGGCCGATAGTGGTATACAGAACGCCTATGACCGGCGTCGAGAATTTCAGTTGGTAAGAGATTTGCTCTTTAAAAATGTTATGACTGTATTTTAGTAACATTTAGCAATGCTTGATTTTAGTACCTACCCTCTTTTTTTTTTTTAAGTGACTTCCACAATATAATGTATCCAGAATTCTGGCCTCAAAATTTGGATTGCTATGCAGTAAGTCCCTGAGTTACTAGTTGGGAGCCCAGCGGCTCTGTAGGATAAACATTAGGTGGATAACCACAAGGTCAGCAGTTCGAGCCCACCAACTGCTCCTCAGGAGAAAAATGAGGCTTTCTGCTCTCAAAAAGATTTAGAGCTTTGGAAACCCTGTACAGGGTTGCTGTGAGTCAGAACCAACTCAACAGCACATACCAACAATGTGCTGTAAGTTCCTAGGAACCCCTGACTACTTATAACTCACTTGTCAAGTAGGTTCCGACTCATAGGAATCCTGTATAGGGTTTCTGAGGAATGATGATGGGTGAACCGCTGGCCTTGCAGTTCAAACTCACCTGGTAGTCCAGCGCATTAACCCACAGCGCCACACCAGGATTCTGTGTTTGTTTTTGTTAGCCCTTTGTTGTTGTTGTTAGCTTCCAACCCATGGCGATCATGTTTAGGGTTTCTGAGGAGCAGCTGGTGAACTTGAACCACTGACCTTGCAGTTTAAACTGACCTTGTGGTCTTAGTGATAAACCCACAGCACCACACCAGGACTCCACATGCCCTTGTAATGTTCTGTAAATCTGCCCTCACTTTGAAACACTGCACTGATCCAATCGCTACTTGCAACCGAGTCTTCATCACCATCGCCTTCACTTGCTGCACAGGAAAAGGCTTTTGAGCTTCTTGCAGGAAACCAAGTTCTCTACCTTTGAGTCAATTCCAGCGCATTGCAGCCCCATGAGACACAGTAGAACTCCCCATAGAGTCTCCAGACTAAATTTTCATGGAAGCAGACCTGCTATACCTTTCTCCTGTCGAGGGACTGGTGAGTTCAAGCTGCCGACCTTACTTACAAATTTGAGCTTACCTACAAATTCGACTCAGGAACCAACTTCCTAACCTCTAGGGACTTCCTGTACACAGCTAACTAAGCTTTTCACTCAGCCAGATGTAAAATTCAGGGAAACACCACAGATTGTGTGAAGCTATTGAATTAGTCACTTTTTCTTTTTGAAAGTAAAGATTCTCCTAAGTACTTTCTTGGAATTTTAGTTTTTTCAAAAGCAGTGTTTTCCTAATTATAATGACAATATTAATTCTTCTAGAAAGTTCTTAGCTTAAGAGTTCAGTAACTGAAACTAGTTGTTCAGATGTGCTATATAGTTTTCAGAGGTACTCAGTTTGTGATAGAGGTTATTTTGGTATATGGAGAGAGATTAAAATTTGTAATAATAATTATCAGTAAATGTACTTTGTGCTTTTTAAATATTGGCAGGTTACCTTTTTTTCTTTCTTTCTTAAGCATGTTGCAAAACATGTACCCTCTTAGAAAATTAGAATAATTTGTTTAGCATTTATTTCTCTCACTTTGCCTTGAACAAGACTACCCATAAACCCTGTGTAGCCATTACACAGCACTGAAGAAAGTCTGGAAAAGAATTAGATGTAGGTTAGAGATAACAAAAATAATAATCAAATAGGTTTTTAATCAAGTGTTTTTAAATTTAATTGTGAATGCTGTGATTGTATTCCCGGTTTTACTTACCAAAGACCGGAAAGATTCCAGCAATGATAGCAATCTACACTCATACGCAATTTGGAGGTAGTTCAGATCCTAAATGTTTTACTGTATGCCATCAAAATAAAGCGACAGTTGAAAGCAAAATTGCTAGGAGAGTTTTTTGATGAAGTCACCGGCATTAAAGTGATCCACATTTTTGGGTGTGGTTACAAAATGATCTAGATGCACTGTTACAATTTGTACTTAAGCAGTCTTGGGTATTAAAAGTTCTAGAAAGGTGTACATGCTCACTTTTTTCTTTTTTTTAAAAGAGACACCATAATTTTTATTTTCTTTAATTTATTATTCATTTATGCACTTGATTATAGTATTACTCTTGTCTCTTCTCGTGGAAGACAGGGATTATCTTACATTACTTAAAGTTGAGCAGCTGGCAGCATTATATATTGGAAATTATTCATTTAACTTGGTAGGTGACTTCCGTTGAGTTCCTGTTTCTGACCTTTGGTCAGTTTTCTTTTCAGCAGTCTTGCTTTTACAAGTTACTCCACAAAGTCCTCCTCATCTTCCTTTCCTTCTTCCTGCCCATCCCCCTCACTTCTAAGTACTACTTACTCATCTTTGTTTATTTTCTCAACAAACCACACTTTCCACTATACGTTTTCTCAGGTCGTCTTTACAGGTCACTGTATAAGTGTACATATTGATCGAATGAATAAAGGAGCAACCGCATCCTACAAAGTAGTTCTCTGGGCAAATTCCATCAGTGCCCGAAGTCCGTTTAATTGGAGTTGAGTTTCACTGATAGTTCTTGAATTTTGATATTCACCTTACGGTCTCCTATCAAGACGGTCACTTCACAGTGCTCACAAAGCGCCTGTAGATGCCGCTTTCTCATTCAGAGCAAAAAGGTAAAACCACTCAGGATGAGGACCCACATGCTCTTGACTTGAGCTTAAGCGTTAGGAGCAAAAAGTCCCCAAGGCTTTTAAGGGACAGATTCCAGCAATACTTTTTCTTCAGAGACACAAGAAAAAGGGACAGAGTACGATGTTGAGTTTAAGCTCTGGGAAGACAGGGATTTATTTTCCCCTGTGTGTATCCACAATCCCTGGTACATCTGGTAGGTATTCAATTTGTGTGTTGATTAATAATTTTTTTACTTCTTTTGGGTGCTCTGTGGTGCGTGGTATCGTGTTGGGCTTTGGGAAGATATTTGGCTTATTTCAAGTGTCTCTGAAAGTCATCTTCAGCCCCTTCTGCTTGTCTACAGACCACACGTTTCCAAGTCCTGGTCGCCTGCATGTGACCGTCTCTGTACCTCTCAGCCTGAGTTGGCTCAGAAAGCTTTGTTCATTCTTCATTGCTTCCAGTACAGCATTCAGCTTTTAGCCTCCCCACCACTGTGTTTCATGGGGTCCTGAGCACACCGCTTCATCCCACATGCCCATGTTGTTTTGTAGTTACTCTTTCTGCCAAGATATGTCATAACTATGTCTGTTCATTGAAGTCTTAACCTTTCATTTTGTTGTTATTAAGTGTCTTTGCATCAATTCTAACTCTTAACAACCCTCTGTATAAGGTTTTACGAGGAGCAACTGGTAGGTTGAAGCACCATCCTTGTGCTTAGCAGGTCAGTACTTATTATCCTGTCGTGCTTCGAACAGTGGTAATAAAATTTTGACTAAACGTGGTCCTGAGACCTCTTGCATCACATTCACCTGGGGTGTTTGTTAAAAATAAGCTTAAAAAAATTTTTTTTGACAAAGCAGATGTGCAGGCCTCATCATCAGAGACTCTGATTTAGGAACTGGAATGGGGCCCAGTGATCTATCTATCTTTTTAACAAACCTCCCCGGGTGGTTTGGTTTCTGGGTGCCCTGTGTCCTCGATAGTGTGTTTGTATTCTATCCCTCATCATGAGCTGCTGAGGGGGAGACTTGTTTACATTTGTGTCGGACTCTCCCACTAAATTCGAAGCTCCTTTGGTATGCCTGCAGAGCTCTAGTGGCACTGTGGGCTAAGCACTGTACTGCTAACTGCAAGGTCCACAGTTCAAAAACCTATCAGCTCCTCCTGGGGGTGGGGGAGCGGGGAGGGTGTGGTGGTGGTGGAATGTGGCTGTCTGCTCTGGGCAGCCCTAGGAAGAAAGGAGGTCACTGGGGAGCGTAGTCACAGTGGCAGTGAGGTGTTAAGTTGGTGTTCCTGATTTTTTTCTCATTCTCTCCTCTGTTCTTGATCCTGAGTTGTAAGCTTCTTTTAGACAAAAAAAAATTTGTATTCTGTTTCTTCTGGGAAGTATTTCTGTCTCGTTTTGCTAATTTGCAAACTAGAAGATGGAAGTCCTCGTATTAGATAACCGTAAGTTTTCTTTTTTCTTTTGTCTAAGAAAGCACGTTCTTGAGTCATGGATAGAACAATTAAACATCAGGGAAAACATGGGAGTTGTTGGCAGATAAAATCACTACAATTGGCCTTCTTCTTTCAGTTAATGTTTGATTACTAAATTTATTAATGAAATGAAAATACAGAAATGAGTGCTGATGGTTTTATAAATCTCCCTGATTAGTATTGTATGAATGACTGCCCTTTAATCAATCCTTGAGATAAGGGGCAAGTGATTGGCATCCCATGTTAGGATTTTAGCAGACCACTCCTGTTGGTAATACCTTCGGGTACAAAACGTGAAAGTTGTTTTTGCCTGGTTCCCAAAGGCAAATGTTTCCTTTTCTGGTTAGTTCTAAATAGCCTAGTAGAAAAAGGGAAGCCTAAGATTGATGTTCCGGTTATACTTGAAGTTTCTTTGTTATAGTCCACATCAGTGAGGAGGAGATACCTTAAGAAGTGGTTTCTTTTAATACTGGATTCTATATTTGCCACATTTTGCTTTGGGTACACATTTAGGGTGGCATGCCACTGCAATAATGGGTAGTCTGTTTAGAGAAACCTCTTGTGTGTCACTTAGAGGATTTGGTAACTTAAATGACTAAAGAGATATGGGGGTCATGGGTTGACTGGAAAGCGATATAATTGGAGAAATACAGTAAAACTAACAAACAACATACTCTGAGTCTCGGCCAAGGAATTGTGTTTTGAATGTGAATGTGCAGTTACTTATCAGACGTGTAAGCAGAATTGATAGAGCTAGTGACATACAGGACAGGCAAGTCGTGGGGCTCTGGGAGGGACACCCCACAGTTCCTAGCTTTACCAACAGTCTGATGTTTCAGCACTAGTGCAACTTTGTGTGGACCAGTCTGTCTTTGCCAGTCCGGAAACCCAAACTCTTCTCTTAGTTATATCACGGTTCCTTTCATTAGATTTAAGTTTGTCAC